TTTTTAAAGCTTTATTATAATGTATATGTTTATTTACTCTTACCCACTCTTGCATGTCTCTAGAAGTTAAGACCTTAAGAAATGCCAAACAGTTAATTGCCACTTACCAACAAGTAACTGTCATTAAAACCATAACTAATGCAATATTGAAAAAAAGTGAAAATCTGATGCAACATATTGCTGTGCTTGAAAGAGCACTGCTGGGACTTTCCTGTAGTATGAAGAGCAAACATACGTGTCTGATAGCATACAATTTTTCTTCCTTCTAGTCTGAAGTTAGGTTTGAATTTAGGAATTACTCTTGGTAAGATTTTTAATTCTTGCACAAACATAATGAAGTCGAAGAAACATGCTTTTGTCTGTGTTAGATTTTAATATGTATTTTACAGATACAGAATGAGCAGCAGATTATTGTACACTTTCATTTAGAAACAATAAATTCTCATACTTGGTATTCAGTGATGACCTCCATTCTTCTTTGGAGGAAACATTGCATATTCAATGCCAAGAGCTATGACGAAAGCTGCAAATCCCCACTTGAATCCCTTAGTAAGGACTTCTGTTAAGGTGACAGGCTTTGCAAAGCCACCCATAAATCTCCAGGCTTCATTACTAGGAGAAAGACAACCAAAGAATAAAACAAGATCAGTGCAACCACTGTGATTAAATATGGAGGGGAAGGAAGATGCTTGAGAGATTTCCAGCAAATCTACTTTTGAGTGTGTAACATTTCTCTAGTTCAAGCATTAAAGGAACAGGAGTTACCACAGGTGAATGATCTGACCTCTAACCCTTTAGGTGCCTTTCACATTAACTACATGTAACACTTACAGCATCTTCCCCCCCAAGTGTGTTATGTAGCTGTTATGTTTCTGTAACTCAAGATGAAGTCATATTAGCACAGAAGAGCATCTTGTCGTTGCTAGTGAAGGATATTTGTTGGTAAGTCTTAGGTTTTCAAATACATCATCTTTCACACAGATTATTCTGTATGGAATACGTGCATTGCTACAAAAGTAATGTTGATACCTTGTTAGAAGGAACTTAATATTTACTAGAGGAGGTTGCCCTAATGAGGATTACTATTTCAGGATTTTTAGTGTGAAACGTTTAAATTTTTTTTT